CCTGCGCCCCCTCCCTGTGGCCTTCCTGAGTGCTGTAGGGACAGCAGATCCGTCTGGGCCAGCAGGGAAAGGAGACTGGCAGGAGGAGCTGGCTGTGAGGCCTCCTCCGAGAACAGGGGCAGGCAGAGAAGAACCTCATCTGGGGGCAGAGGCGGGGGCCGGTCAGGGTGGAGTGCCTGCCTCCTTCCCCCACTGCCCCACACAAAGCTCCAAGAACTCCAGCAGGCTCTGTCTGTTTCCACTTCCCAGGCTTTCTGTGGTCATGTCCCTGCCCACTCCAAAGGGCCGTCCCCCACACCCTTCCCTCCCTCTCAGACCCAGCTGAATCCCTCTCTGGGTACCGCCCCCTCCTGGGGCCCTCCTGCCCCCTTCCTCTGCCTGCACCCTCACCTAGCCTCTTATCTGTTCACTCTTCCTCCCCTGCACCAGAGCTCCACAGAAGCTAAGAAAGTGGCTCTACAGCCCTACCGGCCCCTATCAATGACTCCTGCCACCCTGGGACCTTCCCCTGGGCTCAGGAAGGACAAGCCACTGTAGCAAACCAGCCAGGCCTGTAGCACTGGCTGGACCTCCTGGTGAGGCAGCTTCCCAGAGAGTGGGGATCTTTCAGTCCTCTGGGGCAGAGCAGGGTGAGTGGGGCTGTCTCCCTTTGATTCATTTAGCCCTCTTTCCTCTTTACACATTTGTGAAACGTGACAGCAGTCATAACTGCTATTCGTTGTAACGGTCCTTGCTGGCTATTAAGACCTCTGTGCTAGCACTTTCAGGCATTATCTCAACCCTGACTAAAACCCATTAGATAGGTATTTTTATACCCATTTTACAGATAAGAAAGACTCAGAGGACCGGACCTGGTGGCTCAGGCCTGTAATCCCAGCACTTTGGGAGGCTGAGTTGGGTGGATCACTTGAGGCCGGGGGTTCGAGACCAACCTGACCTACATGGAGAAACCCCATCTCTACCAAAAAGTCAAAATTAAGGCCAGGTGTGGTGGCTTACACCTGTAATTTCAGCATTTTGGGAAACTGAGGTAGCCAGATCACAAGGTCAGGGGTTCAAGATCAGCCTGGCCAATAGGGTGAAACCCTGTCTCTACTAAAAATACAAAAATTAGCTGGGTGTGGTGGCATGCCTGTAGTCCCAACTACCGGAGAAGCTGAGGCAGAAGAATCGCTTGAACCCGAGAGGCGGAGGTTGCAGTGAGCTGAGACTGCACCACTGCACTCCAGCCTGGGCGACAGAGCGAGATTCTCTCTCAAAAAAATAAAAGAAAAAAGCCACGCCTGGTGGCTCACGCCTGTAATCTCAGCACTTGGGAGGCCGAGGAGGGCAGATCATGATGTCAGGAGTTCGAGACCAGCCTGGCCAATATGGTGAAACCCCATCTCTACTAAAAATACAAAAATTAGCTGGGCATGGTGGCGCATGCCTGTGATCCCAGTTATTCGGGAAGCTGAGGCAGGAGAATCGCTTGAATCCTGGAGTTGGAGGTTGCAGTAAGCCGAGGTTCACTCCAGCCTGGGTAACAAGAGTGAAACTCCTTAACAAAGAATGCAAAAATAAAGACTCGGGGAAAGCAAGGAACATGGCTGAGGTCTCCTGGCTAATGTGGTCCAGGTCACAACCTGACTCTACCCAACCAAAGTCCCACCTAACTCCTCCTGCAGATGCCCTTTGGGTATCCAGAGACTATGTCTGGACTTGTCGTGGACTTGAGGGGTGACCCTGGGCTGGCTTCTTTCTGGACCTCGGTTTCTGAGTTGGTCGGTTGGTTGGTTGATTGGATTGATTGATCGACTCTGTCGCCAAGGCTGGGGTGCAGTGGCCAGATCATGCTCACGGCAGCTTCCAACTCCTGAGCTCAAGGAATGATGCCACTGTGGTCATTTTAAAATGTTTTATTTTTGTAGAGATGGCGGGGGGGGGGGTCTCACTATATTGCCCAGGCTGGTCTCGAACTCCTGAGCTCAAGCGATCCTCCTGGATCCGCCTCCCAAACCCCTGTGATTACAGGCAACAGCCATCTGGCCTAGTCGCGCAGGTATACCGGGCTAAGGCGATCTGTCTTAATTAACCATCCACAGCAGCCATCGCTACCCCATCCCCAGGGACCACACAGACCCAGGGGACAAAGGAGGGGGCGAGTCAGTGGCTGAGGGAGCCTCTACTGCGGGGCGGCCAGAGGATCACCCAGCTCAGGGTCCCCCACCCCACTGGTGCCGGTCCCGGCCTCGGTCTCTGAGGGCTCTTTGGGGAACACATTGCGGTGCATGGCGGCGACGTAACTGGAGCCGCTGGGGTTGTCCAGGCGCATCTGCTGCAGGGGCAGGAAGCGCTCGGTGGTGAAGTAGCGCAGGGCCGGCTTCGCGGCGCGCAGAGCGGTGAGGAAGACCTGCGGCGGCGGGAAGGGAGCTCTGGCCCCGGCTGCTCACGGGAGGACGCACCGTCCCCACTCCCGGTGTCCGGCCCGGCGCTCACCTCCACCACCTCCTCCGGGCGCTGCGCGGCCTCGCGGAAGATCTCTTTGTTGTGCTGGAGGTATTGGTGGAAGAGGAGGCGGGTCCGGGTGTCCGTGCGGTCCAGCATCCCGCCGGGGCCGCCCAACACCTTCTGCATGAAGGGGGTGTGCACCGGGCCGCACTCGATCAGGCTCACGCTGTCGGCCCCAGAGCGGCAAGTGGGCGGGGGCGGACGCGAGCCGGGCGCCGGCGCCAGCCCCAGCCCCAGCCCCAGACCCGGCCCTGGTTCGGTCGCGACCGAGAGCACCACCGCTGTGCCGCAAAGCGAGGCAGAAAGGGCGCTGGGAATAACCAGAGCATTTTAAAAGCCGGTTCCTGCCCGAGCAGCCTTCCCACATCCATCTGAGCCTGCGAGGGAGCCCTGGTGACAGGATTTGACCCTGGCGGGGTCCCTGGCCGCTGTATGACCTCCGGTCGGTCACCTAACCTCTCTGGGCCCAAGCTTCCGCATGACAATACCGACACTTCAGCAGCCAGGTCAGCAGATGGCACAACGCATGCCATGCGCCCAGCCCAAGTGCCTGGCACACAGCAAATGTGAACCGGGCAGGGAGGGTCGGGGAGATAGCCCCAGAGTGGCTCCCGCAAGACGGGGTGCTTGGGGTCTCTACATCAGAGTTCAGAGGGTTCGCGGGGCGAGGGGAAGGGGGTGTTTACTCACTGGACCCCAAAGGGCGGCAGCAGAACCGCCAGACTCTCGCATAAGCCTTCCAGTGCAAACTTGCTGGCGCAGTAAACGTCATTGAAGGGCAGACCTTGGTGGTGGGGGGAGACGAGGTTCCCGAGGCTCAGCGACCAGGGGGCCATCCCCGGGCAGACGGTGCCCCTCCAAGCTGACTGCCCCTCCCCGCGGAGCCTGCCTTCAAGGCTCAGCTCTACACGCGAAGAATCTGGAGCTGCGGCCCTGTCCCTGCCACTCACCCATCAGTCCTCCCATGCTCCCGGTCACCAGCACGCGCCCCGAACCGCGCCGCTTCATCTCTGGCAGGAAGGCCTGCAGCATCCGCACCGTCCCTGCCACGTTCACATCCAGCACAGAGCCCACGGCGTCCTCCCCCAGCGCCTCCAGCGGCCCCAGCAGGCCCTGGCCCGCGTTACACACTGCGGGGACAGAGGCCCGAGCGGCCTTAGCATCACCCTCAGCCTGGCCTGTGCCCTCGTGCTCCCTGGGCCTCGGGACTTGGTGGTTTGAACGCAGGGCGGAGAAGGCTCCTAGGAGCCCAAGTGTTTCTCGAGGCTTACCCAGTATGTCCACGCGGCCCTCGGTCACGCATGCCTGGGCATCGGCCACGGATTTTGAGTCCCTTACGTCCAGCTGCAACATCTCCAGGGAGTCCTGAGGGCACCCCTGGGCCCTGGCTGCCTCCCACAGCTGGCCCTGTGTTTTCAGGTCCCTCATGGTGGCGTACACTGGAGGTTAGGGGAGAGGAGGAAGATCTGACTTCCCTTCTGGCCTCCAAGGGCTCCTCCCTTCTCTACATCCTTGTCCCTACCTATCTATACCTTTGAAGCTCTGAGATGGGTCCGATGCCAGTCGTACGGCCAAGTGCAGGCCGATGCCCGAGGAACAGCCAGTGATGAGCACCACGGTGCGGGCCATGGTGGGACTGTGGGGAGAGGCTGGGGCTCTGGGCTGGATATCACCTGCTCCGCCCCACCCCGCCCGCGGGCCCCCACCTCTTGTTGTGTCTCCCACGCAATCTCAAGGATAAGCCCTCCTGCGGGTCCCTGGCCTGCTCTCCCCACCCTGTTCTGAGTCAAAACAGACAGGAGCCCACTGCTTGGAACACCAAACTGTCCTGGCTGCTGCTCAGAGGGAGGGAAGGCTTTACAAGCAGGTGTGGGTTCCCATGTGGGCATGGACTGGCATCCTTGGCAGATTTCCCTGGGCATTTCTCTGGGCCACAGGAACAATGACAGTGACCGGAGTTTGCTGCAGAGCCTGTGAAAGGAAAGGCATTGGCCCGGCGTGGTGTAATCCAAGCACTTTGGAGGCCAAGGCGGGTGGATTACCTGAGATTGGGAGTTCAAGACCAGCCTGACCAACATGGTGAGACCCCGTCTTTAAAAAAAAAAAAAAAAAAAAAGGAAAAAAAAAAAGGGAAGGCGTTGGGAGGTTGGAGTTGATTATATGTATGTTGGTTTTGTCCATAGTTCCTAGCTCATAACTCACATGACCACAGTTACAATCTTTCACTGTAATGTTGGGGCGCCTCAGGACTCAGAAAACAGCCTCTCCTCTTTTGACCTTCTCGTGTCGTCTTTTCACCTGCCCAAGGCAGGACTCTAATCTGATGGGGGTTGTAGGATCCTCATTCCAGAGTGGGTCCTTGCCCCATACCATGGAGAAAGGAATGCTACACAAAGGCCGGAAGAATCTGGACCAGGCTTGTTGGGCTTAGATCAGACCCTTTTTGTCCAAACACATTTTCACAGTTGTCCATGCTTCAATCATGAAGCCAATGAAGTTCTCCATGAAGGCCCAGAGGACAGGGTTCAGGGATCTTCTGGGAGCTGAAGGTGTGGAGGCTGACGGGAAGGTGAAGAACTCATCTGTGTGCCCGGAGGGTGACGTAACCCCAGCGCTATGGAGATAGAAGCTCCAGCTCTGGACCCTGCCAGGCCACACTGTCTGCATCTCTTCGTACGGCTTTCTTTTTTTTTTGGAGATGGAGTCTCACTCTGTCACCCAGGCTGGAGTGCAGTGGTGCAATCTCTGCTCACTGCAACCTCAGCCTCCTGGATTCAAGCAATTCTCCCGCCTCAGCCTCCCAAGTAGCTGGGACTACAGGTGCACACCACCACAGCCGGATAATTTTTGTATTTTTAGAAGCAACGGGGTTTCCATGTTGGCCAGGATGGTCTTGATCTCTTGACCTCATGATCCACCCAACTTGGCCTCCCAAAGTGCTAGGAGTATAGGCGTCAACCACCACACCCGGCCCATATGGCTGTTTATTTCTATCCTTTAAAATATCCTTTGGCTGGGCGTAGTGGCTCACACCTGTAATCCAAGCACTTTGAAGGCCAAGGTGGGTGGATCACCTAAGGTCGGGAGTTCGAGACCAGCCTGACCAACATGGTGAAACCCTGTTTTTTTAAAAAATAAAAATAAATAAAATAAAATATTCTTCAAGGCTGGGTGGCTCATGCCTGTAATCCCTGAGCCACAAAAGGCTGAGGCAAGGGGATTGCTGGAGCCCAGGAGTTCAAGGCCAGCCAGGGCAACAGAGGGAACCCCCATCTCTGCAAAAAATACAAAAAAATTAGCTGGGCATGGTGGTGTGTGCCTGGAGTCCCAGCTACTTGGGGGGTGGGGTGCTGAGGCCAGGGGTTGGGGGGGAATCGAGGCTGTAGTGAGTGGAGAGCGCACCACTGTACTCACTCTGGTTGACAGAGCATAACCCTGTCTCAAAAAAAAAAAAAAAAATTTTTTTTAAATAAAGAAAAAAAAATTCCTCCCTAATAAACCAGTACACATAAACCTGTGTTTTGTGGGCCACTGTAGCAAATTAGTTAAATCCAAAGAGGGGAAGGGGGCCATGGAAACTCCAACTTGAAGCCAGTCCATCAGAAGTTCCAGGGACCAGGACTTGTGACTGATGGAGAAGGAGGGGGTGGTCTCATGGGTCTGCGCCCTAACTCTGTGGACTCTGACGTTGTCTTTGGTGAATTACATTGGAACTGAATTGGAGGACACCCAGCTGATGTCCACTGCTTGGTGCATGGGAACAATCCTCCAAATATGTCATCACATAAGTCTTCTGTATTGGTGAGTGTTGTTGTGGCATGGCAGCAAAGAAAAAACAGTTTGAAAAAAGGTTTTCCTGCTGGGCATGGTGGCTCACCATGTGAGTGCTGTAATCCCAGCACTTTGGGAGGCCAAGGCAGGTGGATCACTTGAGGTCAGGAGTTCAAGACCATCCTGGCCAACATGGTGAAACCCCATCTCTATTAAAAATACAAAAATTAGCTGGGCATGGTGGTAGACACCTGTAATCCCAGCTATGTGGAAGGTTGAGGCAGGAGAATTGCTTGAACCCAAGGGGCAGAGGTTGCAGTAAGCTGAGATTGTTCCACTGAACTCTAGCCTGGGTGACAGAGCAAGACTCTATCTCAGGGAAGAAAAAAAAACATTAGCCAGGCGTAGCGATGCATACCTATAGTCCCAGCTACCCAGGAGGCTGAGGCACAGGAATTACTTGAACCCAGGAGGCGGACGTTGCCGTGCCAAGATGGTGCCATTGTACTCCAGCCTGGGCAACAGAGCAAGACTCTATTTAAAAAAAAAAAGGGGAGTGGCATGAGGCAAGGGAAGGGAGAACAGGTCCACCCCAGGGGCCATGCTACAGCCCTGAGTCTTCCCAAGCGTGGCAGCAGTGACCTCATTCTGACAGACCCAGTGACTCATCAGTTTAAGTGGATAGAAAACAGTACTTTAATCCCACACTTTGGGTGGTGGTGAAGGGCAGCTCACTTTCCTCCAATTCCCCCAAGGCCAGACCCCACCAGCAGGCCGTGGGACCTCCTCCCAGGCCTGGGATACCCTGTGATGCCTGTCCAACTCCGGGCCCTGGAAACCTGCCCCGGCCTGGAGTTAGTGGAAAGCAAGGCCCAGGGGTGGTGAATCTATTCCCAAGAGCCGGCCACCCAGCGGGGGTAATATTTGAGGAAGATCTTCTTGGCCAGGTCCACAGTGTCTCCGCGAGGCTGGCTGGGATACCTCTGCTTGCTGAGGACAAAGGCCTGCTCCAGTTGGAAGACATTTTTGTCAAACTGGTGCTGCTGGAAAGGGATGCCCTGGGCCACGCTGGCAGCCAGCGCCTCCAGGAAGAGCCGCCAGCGAGGGGTATAGTAGCTGGCCACCAGCCCTGCCAGCTGCTTGTTGGCGTAGTCCAGGATGTTGCCTTCTGGCCCCCATAGGGTCAGCTGGTAGCGGCTGTTCTGCTCATAGAAATCAGCCTCGGCCTCACTGACTGCCACTGCTCTGGCCTGTTCCAGCCAGCTGCCCAGCAAGAAGTGGCTGTCACTAGCCAGTACCTCGTCCAGCGCCGGCAGCAGCTCATAGGCCAGGATGCCTCCAGCCCTCAACAGGGAACGCAGCTCCTTGCTCAGGTAGGCACTCCTCGCCTCCTCGTAGTACAAGCTGACCAGCTCCTGCACCGCCTGCCGAGTGACGTCCAGCAGGTCATAGCGGAAGGTGGGGCTGGCAGCCAGGGTGGCGGCAGCTGAGAGCAGCAGCCGCCAAGCCTCAAACACATCAGATCGGTTGTACCAGACGGTGGTATTCATCTGTAGGGACGGCCGCCTGACCAGCGGGCTGTGATTGTGGCCCCTGCAGGCCTCCCCAGAGCAATTGTACACACTCCTGAGCAGGAGCCTCCACGCTGCCCCTGCGTCCGGGTGGGAGACCCCATACCGCTGGGCAGCAAAGCTGGTCACCCAGGCCGCCAAATCTGGCACTGGGTCCTTTCGCCAGCTCAGCTCAGCCATGAGGGAATAGACCACTTCGTTCTGGCTGATGCCCTCAGGGGCCATGCCGGTGCCTACCATGGTGGAGTTGGGGAAGAGGCGGGCAGCTTGTGGGCCTCGGTTCACGGCCTCTAGGGCTCCAAACAGACCATGGTTGCCCCCGAAGTTGTGCAGCATGCACCAGATGAAGGGCTGGCCCTGGAAGGAGGCGGTGCGGGTGTATACAGGCTGGCTCTCAGCAAACAGGTCCAGAACCAGCAGGCGGCCACGGGGCACAGCCCCCAGCACAGCCCTGACCTGGGCAGGCCCCCAGAACTGGGGCTGGTGCTGGAAGAGCCAGCCTTGGAGCAGCCACACAGCATGCGTATCCACTGTGGTCAGGAGGTGGGGGGACACAGAAGAGGAGTGATGAGAGGAGAGGGGCCAGCGAATGTTCACCCCACTCTACAGATGACTCTGTCTATCCCGGGACATGCCTTCCCATAAGCCCCACCAGCCAGACACTCCGTCCCACATATGCTGCCCCATCCCCATCTCTTCCCCCTGGAAACACCAGGACAGGGTTCAGCAAGCTTCAGGGAACATCAGAGTTACCCAGAGAGCTCCTTCCTTCCTTCATTCCTTCATTCATTCATTCAGAGACGGAGCCTTGCTCTGTAGTCTAGGTTGGGGTGCAATGGTGTGACCTCAGCTCACTGCAACCTCCGCCTCCCAGGTCTGGGTTAAACAATTCTCCTGCCTCAGCTCCGAGTAGCTGGGATCACAGGCGCGTGTGACCATGCCCAGGCAATTGTTGTATTTTTAGTAGAGCCAGGGTTTCACCATGTTGGCAAAACTGGCCTTGAACTCCTGACTTCGTGATCTGCCCACCTCAGCCTCCCAAAGAGCTGGGATTACAGGCATGAGCCACCGTGCCTAACCTATTTTTTTATTTTTTTGAGATGGAGTTTCGCTCTTGTTGCCCAGGCTGGAGTGCCATGGCATGATCTCCGCTCACCGAAAACTCTACCTCCCAGGTTCAGGGGATTCTCCTGCCTCAGCCTCCAGAGTAGCTTGGATTACAGGCATGTGCCACCATGCCTGGCTAATTTTGTATTTTTAGTAGAGACAGGGTTACTCCACGTTGGTCAGGCTTGTCTCAAACTCCCGACGTCAGGTGGTCTACCGACCTCGGCCACCCAAAATGCTGGGATTATAGGCATGAGCCACCGCATCCGGTTCAGGGCTCCGTAAAACATGGAGCCTTCTGGCCAGGCGCAGTGGCTCACATCTGTAATCCCAGCACTTTGGGAGGCCAAGATGGGCAGATCATCTGAAGTCAAGAGTTCGAGACCAGCCTGGCCAACATGGGGAAACCCCATCTCTACTAAAAATACAAAAATTAGCCGGGCATGGTGGCACGTGCCTGTAATCCCAGCTACTTGGGAGGCTGAGGCAGGAGAACTGCTTGAACCTGGGAGGCAGAGGTTGTGATGAGCCAAGGTG